AAAAAAAAAAAAAAAAAAAAAAAAAAAAAAAAAAAAAAAACTAGGTCTGTTCATGGCTTCTATTCGGAAGCAGGTAGGGTTGCTTGTGTCTTGAGGAACATTGCTTCTCCTCTTACCCATCCATTTTCAGGACACCAGGGCCCCACCCATGTCTCACTTGTCGGCGGGGTCTAGTTCTGGTGTCGAGCATACATGAGGCTCCCTGCCATCCGATCTGAAAATCTTACGGCCACATCGTGACCACGTTGAAAAATACACGCAACGTAGTGGGCCCAGGACATGGCCCCAGGCCTGCACTACTAATAAGCCAGCCTTGAGAAGCGTAGTTCCTTCTGTCCACTGCATTGTGTGTGTCTACATAGGACACTTACTATCTCTTCAAAGAGAGATGCGTTTGGCATCCCTTTATGAAATACAAGTGCAAGCTTTCCTTCTACCCATCGCCGCCTCCAGTGCCGATCCCAACCTCCAGTGCCGATCCCGTCCTCTAATCCGATCGCGACGCCATTGCCGAGTAGCAGGCAAAATTCAGTCCGGATATTTGCCCGTTAGGCCCAACATCATTTGTCACGCAATCAGGTTAACGGAGTGGGATTTAAACTTAACGGAGAGGAGAGGAGAGGAGAGGGACCTAACGTCGTGGTGAAAAAAGAAAAGAAAAGAAATCCTAACGTCGTGGTGGGGTCGAACCCCTCCCCGCGTATTCCGCATAGGACGTACGGTCATTATAGCTGTCTCTTATACACATCTAGATGTGTATAAGAGACAGGGTTAACGGAGTGGGATTTAAACTTAACGGAGAGGAGAGGAGAGGAGAGGGACCTAACGTCGTGGTGAAAAAAGAAAAGAAAAGAAATCCTAACGTCGTGGTGGGGTCGAACCCCTCCCCGCGTATTCCGCATAGGACGTACGGTCATTATAGCTGTCTCTTATACACATCTAGATGTGTATAAGAGACAGGGTTAACGGAGTGGGATTTAAACTTAACGGAGAGGAGAGGAGAGGAGAGGGACCTAACGTCGTGGTGAAAAAAGAAAAGAAAAGAAATCCTAACGTCGTGGTGGGGTCGAACCCCTCCCCGCGTATTCCGCATAGGACGTACGGTCATTATAGCTGTCTCTTATACACATCTAGATGTGTATAAGAGACAGGGTTAACGGAGTGGGATTTAAACTTAACGGAGAGGAGAGGAGAGGAGAGGGACCTAACGTCGTGGTGAAAAAAGAAAAGAAAAGAAATCCTAACGTCGTGGTGGGGTCGAACCCCTCCCCGCGTATTCCGCATAGGACGTACGGTCATTATAGCTGTCTCTTATACACATCTAGATGTGTATAAGAGACAGGGTTAACGGAGTGGGATTTAAACTTAACGGAGAGGAGAGGAGAGGAGAGGGACCTAACGTCGTGGTGAAAAAAGAAAAGAAAAGAAATCCTAACGTCGTGGTGGGGTCGAACCCCTCCCCGCGTATTCCGCATAGGACGTACGGTCATTATAGCTGTCTCTTATACACATCTAGATGTGTATAAGAGACAGGGTTAACGGAGTGGGATTTAAACTTAACGGAGAGGAGAGGAGAGGAGAGGGACCTAACGTCGTGGTGAAAAAAGAAAAGAAAAGAAATCCTAACGTCGTGGTGGGGTCGAACCCCTCCCCGCGTATTCCGCATAGGACGTACGGTCATTATAGCTGTCTCTTATACACATCTAGATGTGTATAAGAGACAGGGTTAACGGAGTGGGATTTAAACTTAACGGAGAGGAGAGGAGAGGAGAGGGACCTAACGTCGTGGTGAAAAAAGAAAAGAAAAGAAATCCTAACGTCGTGGTGGGGTCGAACCCCTCCCCGCGTATTCCGCATAGGACGTACGGTCATTATAGCTGTCTCTTATACACATCTAGATGTGTATAAGAGACAGGGTTAACGGAGTGGGATTTAAACTTAACGGAGAGGAGAGGAGAGGAGAGGGACCTAACGTCGTGGTGAAAAAAGAAAAGAAAAGAAATCCTAACGTCGTGGTGGGGTCGAACCCCTCCCCGCGTATTCCGCATAGGACGTACGGTCATTATAGCTGTCTCTTATACACATCTAGATGTGTATAAGAGACAGGGTTAACGGAGTGGGATTTAAACTTAACGGAGAGGAGAGGAGAGGAGAGGGACCTAACGTCGTGGTGAAAAAAGAAAAGAAAAGAAATCCTAACGTCGTGGTGGGGTCGAACCCCTCCCCGCGTATTCCGCATAGGACGTACGGTCATTATAGCTGTCTCTTATACACATCTAGATGTGTATAAGAGACAGGGTTAACGGAGTGGGATTTAAACTTAACGGAGAGGAGAGGAGAGGAGAGGGACCTAACGTCGTGGTGAAAAAAGAAAAGAAAAGAAATCCTAACGTCGTGGTGGGGTCGAACCCCTCCCCGCGTATTCCGCATAGGACGTACGGTCATTATAGCTGTCTCTTATACACATCTAGATGTGTATAAGAGACAGGGTTAACGGAGTGGGATTTAAACTTAACGGAGAGGAGAGGAGAGGAGAGGGACCTAACGTCGTGGTGAAAAAAGAAAAGAAAAGAAATCCTAACGTCGTGGTGGGGTCGAACCCCTCCCCGCGTATTCCGCATAGGACGTACGGTCATTATAGCTGTCTCTTATACACATCTAGATGTGTATAAGAGACAGGGTTAACGGAGTGGGATTTAAACTTAACGGAGAGGAGAGGAGAGGAGAGGGACCTAACGTCGTGGTGAAAAAAGAAAAGAAAAGAAATCCTAACGTCGTGGTGGGGTCGAACCCCTCCCCGCGTATTCCGCATAGGACGTACGGTCATTATAGCTGTCTCTTATACACATCTAGATGTGTATAAGAGACAGGGTTAACGGAGTGGGATTTAAACTTAACGGAGAGGAGAGGAGAGGAGAGGGACCTAACGTCGTGGTGAAAAAAGAAAAGAAAAGAAATCCTAACGTCGTGGTGGGGTCGAACCCCTCCCCGCGTATTCCGCATAGGACGTACGGTCATTATAGCTGTCTCTTATACACATCTAGATGTGTATAAGAGACAGGGTTAACGGAGTGGGATTTAAACTTAACGGAGAGGAGAGGAGAGGAGAGGGACCTAACGTCGTGGTGAAAAAAGAAAAGAAAAGAAATCCTAACGT